ACTGAAATTTTTAAAATTGTTAAAATTAATTTAACTCATCCTGTAACATACGTTTTAGAAGATGAACAACATGAAGAAATTCAAGGATCATTCTATCGAGAAGAATTACAAAAAGTTAAATATCCAGATGTATATTTAATTGAAAAAGTGGTGAAACGAAAAGGAAATAAGATTCTTGTAAAATGGCTTGGATTGAAACAGCAGTCTTGGATTAATAAAAATAATGTTGTATAATTTATATATATTTTTAAATAAAAAACTTATATATTAATGTATTATGTTTTATTCATTACAATAATAATTTTTATACATTTTATTTCTGTGATTATTACTTAAAATTGGAGAAATACATTTTTCCACTTCTTTGATTCGACGATGAAATCGATACCTATCAACTACATATTGTTCCCAATTTCCTTTTCTAGCGTCATGATAAGCAAAATTCCAAGTGTGTAGTATATACATTTTATTATTCTTGTTAAATGTAACTTTTTTCATTTAAGTAGCTCAGGATATCTATAAATAATTTCTACTGCAATGTTACTGCAGTTTTTAACTCCCACTTATGTGCTTTATTTTATTTAGTGATGATTAATTATGTATATTTTGTTTATGCATTCCTATTGGACTTGTGTGGGGGTTCAGGTGTGATTCGGCGAAGGTGTGGGAAGTTTTTGTGTGGGGGGAAAGTTAAAATTTCGGGAGCTGGGTGTAGAAAGGGTTGGGATGGGTGATGAAGATGGGGTGGTGGGGGGATTCAGGATTATATTTTGAAGGGGATTATGTGGTGAGGGAGCGTGTGGGGGGGGGTTCGTAGGGCTTTGTTTTAGGCACTTGGTGGGAGGTGTGTCTTGTATTTTGGTGGCACATACTCGGCTGTTTTGTTTTTTTGGTTACGTGACATGGGTGTTTAGTCCAATGTTTCTAGTGGCATGGGGAGTTTGTGGTTGTGAATTGGTGTTTAATGATTCTGTTGTGGATGGTGGTGGGGAGAGTGGGTTGGTTTTGATGCATTACCTCACATGTTTTTGGGTGAGTTCTTACTATGGTGGGTCGGACAAGCGTGGGGTCAGGGTTGGGGAGGGTGTGGGAGGTGGTGTGTGTGGGCGGGTTGTTTTGTGTTTTTTATTATTGTTTATGGGTTTGGTTGTAGGGTGGGGGCGTGGGGGGGGTATTTTTGCGTGGTTGGGGGGTTTTTGGGATTGTGGGTTTCTTGTGGGGGCTCACATTGGGTTGCGGGTTGGGGTTGTTGGTTGGTGGATGGTTTTTGAGAGGTGATCGTTTTGGGCTGAAAAGGTTTAATTGGGGGGGGGAAGAGTGTAGTTTTTTTTTACTGGAGGTGATGTAGGTCTAGTTGGGTTTAATGGTGTTGTGTGGTTTGTATGGGGAAGTTGGGGGGGGTGTATGGAGTGGGTTGATGGGGTTTAGGTTGGGGGGGGGTTGGTTATATTGTGGAGTTAGAAGGCGGGTGGGGGGGTATTATGGTGGTGAAAGATATGGGGTTGTTAGGTGTATGGGTGGGGTGTGCGGGATTTCAAAACCTTTCTGGAGTTTTTTGGAATTTACCACAGCTTGTCATTTCATTAAATGGAACTTTCTTTTTTATTATGTAGGGGTATATTTATGGATTGTTAGAGAGATTATTCACTGTACTCAAAACTATCCGCCAAACAACCCCCCCCCCCCCCCCCCCCCCCCCCGTACCCATCATCCCTCCCCAACACCCATCCCCCCCCCCCCTTTATACAAGTACGTTACATTCATTTAATTTCTCTATATTAAAACTATCAGTATCTGTATACATAATTTTGCAATTATTTCCTAACTTTGGTAATATATAATTATAGTAAAATTCATACATACATGTTTTTGAAATATCTAAAATAGACATTCCAATATATAAAGGTTTATTAAATAGAAGCTCAGTTTTTTTCATTTCAATTGCCATTAAATCCGCGTCAAATATTGTTCTGTTATAAAATTTTGGACTGGCTATTAAATTTTTTGCACCATATCGACCTTGCCACTGTCTAGTCAATTTCACAATTCTATGTTTCCGGATATTTTCCATAGTTTTGCCGTAAATACTGTTGATTTTAAGCTTAAAATGATTTTGCTCAAACTTACTTTTAGCTTTAGTTCGAAGTTCTGTATTAAAATCAATATAAGGTTTAAGCCATGCAGATTGTTTAAATTGTAAAACTCTATGAATTTTTGTAATAACCAATCCATGCGCTATTGCTTGTTTTAAAGCGCGGTAGTGAATAATATAATTTTTTTTTTTTGATAGTGTTGTCATTAATTTTGATAACTTTGAACCCGGAGGTATTTGATGTTCTGAACAGAATGGAAAATCTTTATGCAAATCATGTAGTGTTTGCGGATATTCTATATCCACTTCAAGTATATATCCAAAAAATGCATCATCAGGTATATCAGTTACATCAATATTTGTATTAACCCACTTGAAATTACTTATTGGAAGTAGTTGAGACATTGCCCAACCGTATAAATTATTAACATCAACATAAAACAGATATTTATTTGGTTTGGTTGGGTCATAGTTTTTCATATATTTATTATTAGCCTCTGAATATCTTGAACAACATTGACTAATACCACCACGAATTCCTTTTTCTATAAATAATATCATATCTACATCACCTAATAGCTCTAATTCACATTTTGTGTACCAAAGCATACAGTCAAAGGAATATCCGGGTATCGTATAATACCATGCTGGATCTAAGCCACTAGTTCTGTGACCTATGTCTCTAAAATTTTCAAACACATCTGCTAATAAAAATATATCTGTTTTTAAATATAAATCTGAATATTCTCCCAAATTTTGTATATTGAATTGTTTCCAAACATTAAGTGCATGTTCATATTTGTCATTAGGTAAAGCTTCATCATTTAGTTTGTTATAAAAATGTTCTGGTGATGGTAATTGCGTTTCATCGAGTTTTTCCCATTTATCAATGTAATCGTAACAAAATACACCTTTTCGTGTAAGTAACTGAAATTTAAAGTCAGGTAGGTGTTTAAATTCATACTTTAAATTCTTTAACTCTTTAATATCTACTGTAGATACTAATTCATCAAGAGATGCACCTAGAAATCTGAGTGAATCAATAAAACGAAATTTAATATCATTTGGTAAATGTTGAGTAAAGGAAATATATTTTTCTTTGTTTATGGGTAGTAATGTAATTTTACCTCTTTTTGCAAGATCTCTTATTATGAAATGCGAGTCATATCCGGACAAATTATGAAAGCACACAGGTACTACAAATAGTTTTTTTAAAATTCAAATTACATATTTCATGTGCAAAACCTCTAAAATCACCAGTAAAATGATTATGATCTCTTACAATGATATCTGTACATTTAAAATTATTTTCACAAATATGACATTTTTGAGCATACATTGTATTAGGTTTTATTTTCATAGGAACTATATTTTTTATTTTTGATTGAATTATTTGAGCAACGTTTGACATTTCATTTGCAAACCAATCCATACAATCAGCTCCACGATAGCTTTTAAAAAATGAAATATTATTATCATATTCACATTTTACAAAATATCCGCAACTAAATGCAGTATGTTTTTGATACTTTTTACTTTCTACAGATATATCAAGAGGTTCAAGCATTGATTCAAAATCAGCATATATAATAAATGGTGTTCGTTGTTTATAAATAAAATTTTTAAATTTAATTATTTTATTTTCGGGAATTACAATTTTGTAGTCATTCATTTTTTCACATAAAATTAAATGTTTGTTAAGCCGTTCTTGATTAGTAAAATAATTTAAACATCTATCACATATAATTTTTTTATGACCATTCTTATTTAGTTGACTATTTAATAATTTAGATAAATTTTTAATCCAACAATAATGATAAGTAATATTAACTTGTTCATTGTCAAGGGGATCAGGGGTATCATAATCGTTTAACTTTTGAAAATATAAATTTTGAATCATTAGCAAATTAACGTGTTGCTGTAATTTACTTTTAGATAGACGTAACGGAGTTATATTAAATTTTTTTCCAATTAGTTCCAAACCATAAACATTTATTGAAATATTATTTAATTTTTCAAAAACTGCTATTTTATTAAATTTAATTGGAATTTCAAGTCCTTCCAAATTTAAAACTTGACTATAATGTGGATACGAACTGGTCCGATTAACGGATTGATTTGCTGGATGTAATGCACTTACTATGCTCCAGTAAAAACAAGCTTCATCAAAATTTCTAACGTTTACACAAGCTTTTTTATTAATAATTTGTTGAGGTAATTGAATATAACTTGAACCATTTCCAATTTCATACTTATTAATATTAATCTCTAAAGAAATTACTTTACTTAATGCCCAACCTGAATCACGTTCTTGAAACTCTGATAATTTGTTTAAAATAAAATCAACTATGTGTTCATAAAACCATTCATTTAAATTAGTAGATTTATCAATGATTGCATATGGTGTGTGAAAATATTTAAAATCTATCGTTTCTTCATCATCTACTGTTTTTTTTATAAACTTGCCACAAAAGGTACTGTTAACCTTAATTATGGTAAATCTAGATAAAATTAACAAAATTTTAGTTTTAAATAAAGACATAGCATCATTTAAAAACTGTAAAACATCTTTATGTTTTAAATTTACTATGACACCACTTTGAATCCTTCCATGATAAACTGCTGCTAAATCTTCCCATTTAATTGTATAATTATTATCTTTTAATTCTTTAAGCTTATTATAAACAACTGTTAAATGACTTAATTTTGTTTGCCACATGCGGATATTTCCGATTTTAAAATTTTTTGTTTTTAATGCTTTAAAACATAAACTAATTGCAATATCAACATGTTTAAGCCATGATTCAATTTCCTCAACAGTAAAATCATAATTTTTTTCATAAAACTTTTTAACTAGTTTGTTTACATCATTAGCAAGCCTTTCTGACATTTTAAACTAACACTCACCTTAAGATTTTATAAATTTAAATAAAGCTGCCGGATTGCCTTTGCCTGTGTCCTTTTCTCCAATGAATACTAGCGAATACCTTCCATTTCCCAATTCCAAAATATGATTTTTAAGCACCTCGGTAGATCTAGGTGGTAAAAACACAACCTTATCATCCAGTTCCAAAACAACAGAATCTCCGAATTTCGATGCAGTCACCTTGGCTTCAGAAATTTTGTATGGAGTATTTATTTGAAGTTTATTTAACTTTATAATAGGTTTTCGTTGTCCTTCTAAAAGAAGAAACTCATTTAGTGCTTCTAAATCCATTTTTCTGAAAACGTATCATAAATTACTAAACTGTTAACACTTGAAACACTTAACTTACCGTTAAATAACACACAAAACTGTTGAATAACACACCGAGTTAAATTTAAATATTACTGACAGATACTTAACGTAATGTAATACTTTCAGTGAAGACTTTCAACTTAATCTAAAACGATGTTGCTTCAGCCTTTTATAGCAAATCTCACAACACACGTCAAGGATATCCGGTGTTAACCTTGATATTTACTCTAACATCGACATATACGTCAACCTTTACCTTTGACCTTGACCTTGACCTTGTCCTTGTCCCTGACCTTGACCTTGGCCTTGACCTTGACCTTGACCTTGACCTTGACCTTGACATCGACCTTGACCTTGACCTTGACCTTGACCTTGACCTTGACCTCGACCTTGGCCTTGACCTTGGCCTTGACCTTGGCCTTGTCCTGGACCTTGGCGTTGTCATTGACCTTGACCCTGACCTTGACCTCGACTTTGATATTAAATGACCTTGAATGACTTTGACCTTGAATGTCTTTGACCTTGAACAAACTGCTCGACTTTCAAGTAAAAGTCATTTAACATTTATACTGAAAGTCATATAAGGAAGAATGGATCATACTAGCAAACCTCTGTGAAAAAATTAAACGAAGCAGAAGAAGAATTAAAGTGACTAATATTATCGAAATGGTAGTCAGACTAAAATGGATAGGGTATATAGCTAGAATGGAAATTGACAGTACAAGATGAACTAACAACTGTATAAGAGCGATGAAGAATAGATGGGTTTGGAATCATGAGGAGGTCTATGTTCAGCAGTGGACTTTTTGAGTCCGAATATGAACCCTCTGACCTATTTGTAATTGATATAATTCATCTCATGTTTAATTATTTTAATCACCCTATATTTGTCAAAACGAAGCAGAAGAAGAATTAAAGTGACTAATATTATCGAAATGGCAGTCAGACTAAAATGGATAGGGCATATAGCTAGAATGGAAATTGACAGTACAAGATGAACTAACAACTGTATAAGAGCGATGAAGAATAGATGGGTTTGGAATCATGAGGAGGTCTATGTTCAGCAGTGGACTTTTTAAGTCCGAATATGAACCCTCTGATCTATTTGTAATTGATATAATTCATCTCATGTTTAATTATTTTAATCACCCTATATTTGTCAAAACGAAGCAGAAGAAGAATTAAAGTGACTAATATTATCGAAATGGCAGTCAGACTAAAATGGATAGGGCATATAGCTAGAATGGAAATTGACAGTACAAGATGAACTAACAACTGTATAAGAGCGATGAGGAATAGATGGGTTTGGAATCATGAGGAGGTCTATGTTCAGCAGTGGACTTTTTGAGTCCGAATATGAACCCTCTGATCTATTTGTAATTGATATAATTCATCTCATGTTTAATTATTTTAATCACCCTATATTTGTCAAAATAATAATTCAAGAATAGACGGGTTTGGAAACACGAGGAGGTCGATGTTCAGCAGTGGACTTTTTGGGTCGGAATATGAATTCTCTGATCTAATTGTAATTGATATAATTCATCTCATGTTTAATTATTTTATTCACCCTATATTTGTCAAAATAATAATTCAAAACAAGAGATAAAATAGATTGGGACAAACAAGATCCATAGTGTAAAAAGCAATAAAGAATATACGGGTCTATGTTCTAGTCTATGTTCAGCAGCGGACTTTTTGGGTTAAAATATGAATCCTCTGATCTAATTGTAATTGATATAATTCATCTCATGTTTAATTAATTATTTTGATCACCCTATATTGGTCAAAATAATAATTCGAAACAAGAGAAAAAATAGATTAGGACAAACAAGCTCCATCGTGTAAAGAGCAATGAAGAATAGATGGGTTTGGAAACAGGATGAGGTCTATGTTCAGCAGGGGACTTTTAAGGTTGGATCATAAACCCTACTATTTATTTATTACTGGTATAAATCTCAGGTCGATGCAGCTTGAATAAAGCTACTAACTTGTGAAAACCAGAGGTAATTATAGGCGGTTGAAGCGTAGCACTGACCCTGTTATCTTCCTTGTATACCGTAGACCCTAGATCTAGCAAAAAACTACCCTGTTATAACCCCAATGCCGCGTTAGCAACATAAAACGGAAGACTATTATTTTTATAAATTTTCTTATTTTTTTAATTACCTACTTGAATCTCCCTATATTTGTTAAAATTCATGCATACTTGATCGCGTTTGGATTACTACACTTTGAGAAAAGAATTTTTGCCGGAGAGAATGCATTCTCTCCGGCATTTTTCAAAGGATATATTTACGGCTCGCGTTCACGGATAAAAACAAAGGAATGATTATAAACGTATATAAGTATAATAATTGCATATGCATGTATCGGCAATTACGGAAATTTCTACTTTTTAATGACTTTTATAATATTCTTAAATTATAGCAAAATCACGTTTGGAGGTTGTCTTCAGTTTACAGAAGGCTTGCTTGGTTGGGAGTAATTTGTAAAGTTTATTATTTTCTGACGTCAGATGTCTTTGTTTCACGATAATTGTGAATGCGTCTTTACGGCAGGTAGGTTGGGTAATTGGACTACATTTCAGATGCATTTTTAAAACTAGTTTGTGTATATAAAAGGCTTGCTTGGTTGGGAATAATTTGTAAAGTTTATTATTTTCTGACGTCAGAGGTCTTTGTTTCGCGATAATTGTGAATGCATCTTTACGGCATGTTAAGGTAGGTTGGATAATTGGGATTTATTTTAAATGCATTTTTAAAACAAGTTTGTGTATATAAAAGCCGAAATGTTCCCTTACATTATCAGTCTGTGAATACAGTGAACAAAATGCCTAAGAATATTAAAATTATTTCAAATACGCAAATTAAAAAGCCGAAAATAGAGAAAACAGTGTCGGAATTGGAGAAGCTTTTGACGAAACCGCCGAAAACTCATGTAAGTATTCATTATTTGTAAATTGTGTACGATTTATTGTTATTTTCTAATTTCTGTATTATTGTTGCATTTGTGTTTCTGGATTTTTGTATATGTTGGATTTTTCTATTGAGATTACGTTTGGATATTTATACCACTACTTGTGACTCAATATTATATAAAACATAATAAATTATATATGTCACAAGAAAACATTGTCGCCTATTGTAGTATTTTTGATTTTATTTTACTGTATTATTTTCTTTTGTTTTGTAGTATTTTATTTCTTTGTTTTCCATTTTATTTAACCCTGTTTAGAAGCTTCTTTGACTCTGTCTAGGAGCTTTTACATTCTCTCTTAATTTTAAATAAATTATTCTAATGTACTTTTTGTTTTAGATTGATTTGACTAACATTGATTCGCAAGATTTTTTAAAGGAATTCTTGAGGCCCTTTGAGGGCTCTGCGTCGGGACCGTCCTCTTGCTCAGAGTCATCAACTTCCTCGAGACCATCAGCTTCGTCATATTCGACAACTGTCACCATGGAGCAGTTGGAAGAATACAACAGGCAGATGACTGAAAGGTACAATCAGTCGTATAATAACCAACAATCCTGGTCGTTATTATACGACAAGATATGTGCCGTAGCGGAGGAGACGAAACAGATTGGGGCAAGAGAAAAAACAATTTTTGAGGAACAAAAGCAGCTTACAAAACAGAAAGAGAATTTAAATTGTCAATTTGTTTCGTATCAAACAGATATGCTGAAAATTTATAATTGTAAATAAATATATTTTATGCTTTATCTTTCTTTTTAATAATTTGACACTTCTTCTTCTTTTTGTGCCACTATTATCGGAGATTGGAAATCATCAAGGCTATTCTGACCTTGTTTACGGCTGACCTAAAGAGTTCATTAGTGGTGCAGCCAATTTGACACTAATAACTATACAAATAGTTATCACTTCTACGGCCCTCTATTTTACCTTTTAGGGTCAGTTGTAATATTTTATATCGACTTCCTCTTACTATATCTCCCAGATAAGATATTTTTCAATGTTTTTCAGTCTTTAGCAGTTCTCTATCTTTGTTGACGCTCCTTGGTACTTCTCCATTAGTTTTCCTTGCTGTCCAAGGTATCTTCAGCATTCGTCTATGAACCCACATTTCCAATGCTTTAATTTTGTTCATGGTCGATACTTTTAGCGTCCACACTTCTGCATTATACAAAAGTACGGACCAAACATAGCACTTAACCATTCTTTTTTTATTCTACATTTTATTTATTCTTCTATTCTACGTTTTATTTCTATGTCTCGATCTAGTTGGTCCATTATCAGTTTTGTTTTGTTTGAGTTTATTTTAATGGCCATTTCCTCTCCTACCTCGTGAATATGATCAAGCAGAATTTAAAGACCTTCAATATTATCTGATAGAATTACTGTATCGTGTGCATATCTAATCACATTAAGTAGTTCCCCATTTGATATTTATCCCATATGGTTGTTTTTCAAGTGGCTTTTTAAATAACTGGTCCGAGTAAACATTAAACAATGTTGGCAATAAAATGCAGAATAGACCAAACCAAATTATCTTATAATAAACTTAAAAAGTTTACTGTAATTGCAATTTTGTAAAAAAATATATTTCGAGATAAAACAGATATAATTTGCCGCAGCGGCGTTACTAAAATTTTCAGTTATATTTACGTTATTTAAAAAATTTAGAAGGAACTATATTAAAAAATGATTGAGGTATAATTTATCAAATTACACAAGGTTAAGCAGGATCTTCAGAAATCAGTATACCTGGTACTAAATTAACTCGTTCAGTGACTACTATGACAGTGTGGTTATAAAGGATTCATCATGAAATTACACAAATGTCGTTTGTCGTACTGCGATACTAAATGAATCATTAAGTACGTGGTAACAGACAAGTGATATTTGTTTAAGATGGATACCGAACGTAACTTTGTGGTTAGCTTGAACTCAACCTTCGGGTGACTTAATTGTGACGTTTAAGTGACCTTATCGTAACCTTCTAGTAACTTTCTCATGATATTAAACTTGTACGACTTTGATTGACATTAGTCTTACTACATCTCTAAAGTATCTTTAAGGCTACCTTAATTAACCTTTAGGTGACTTTATCCTGACGTTCAAGTAAATTGTGACTTTCAGGTAACTTTTAAATGATCCTGAACTTATCCAACCTTAATTCGAATTAGTCTAACCACCTTTGATCCTATTTTGCACAACAGGCAACTTTTCTGTTGTGTTAAACTTGTCCGATCTTGAACTTTGCGTGACCTTGATATTCACATGACCTTCGCGTGACTTGAACTTTGCATGACTTTGGCTTAACCTTGACTGACCTTGATTGGAACCGGTTTCTCCCACCACAAAGTGCACCAGGAATGGCATAGAGTATCTACTCGCCGAATATGTGGTGATACATTTAACAATCACATCATATTAATTGACGCTAAACAATCAAATAAAACAATTATTATTGGTACAGAAATGCTTTTATTAAATAAAATATACCACTGGTACAGTATGATCTAAATATAAAAGTATTACGTTTGTAATTTACTTGAACCATTTTTAGGACAATCATCAACTTCTTTACCAATATCTTCATCAGTATCACCAGTATTTTCTGCTTTTTCGTATAAAACAGATGGAACATATTGTTTTATTCGTCTTAAATAACCATCTAATTTAGCACCTTTTAGTAGTGATATATACCCATATAAACAAATTTGATTTTTAAGATACAAGTCACAAATTTTACCACCTTTTTCATATTTTTTGGCTAATTCTGTACAAAACTCTGGAGAATAAGGTGATGGACGCACTGCACCATAAATGGCTTAATGAGAAGCATCGAATTCCAGATTTGAAAACAATTGTTGTAAATTTTGAACACCACTTTTTAAATCTGTAACTTCAATTTCGGTAACGTAACACATCCACATTGTAAATACTAGTTACTAGCAGTGTATTAGAAGAAGAAGTGTAAGAATTAGCTCTACAACGCGTTATTAAACAAAAACCCCACCAACAAACTCTCCCACCATGATAAAAAATCCATTTCAAAACTATCTACATAAAATTCACCTCCACTATCATTTTCTGCTTTGGAAGGAGTAGTCTAGCTTGCTAGATTAAATAATCAAGATCTTCTTGTTGTTGATCAGGTGTAAACGTATCTATTTTGTAATGACCCCATGCTAATGTGTTAATAGTTCCAGGTATAACATATCTTTTATCGCCGTGGCCAGCTTATTTTTTAATTCAGTATACATTTCATGTTAATGTGACTTAAATGTATACATTTTACGATAAATCTTTGCATTAGCATTATCAACCACTTTTTTATAGTCCATAAATGTTAAAGATTTATTTATAACGTTTTTGGAAATCCCCTTAGCTTTTTTAAGGTTCTCATTGCTACTTAATGTCACACAATAAGCTTTAGCGCCAGTACCACAAAAATTCGCGATTGGTTCACCTTTAAACTCATTCTAAAATTTACCAACCACTGACGGTGTTCTTGATATATTAAAGATATTATCGGCGGGGTAATTGGATGTATCAAATAAATTAAGGTTTTCTTTAATATCGTGGTACACGTTTTCTGTTTGAATATGTAAAATTAAAGAATCTGTGTCAGTATACAAAAGGGTAGTATTACCCGTATATTTAGCTTTAATGTAGTTGTAAATGAAATCATACATACGAATTTTGGATATTTCTAAAATTGAAAAACCAACATATACCGGTTTGTCGTAAATAATTTTTAGGATATTCATTTGAATTGCAACTAAATTATCAGAAAAATTTAAAACAGAGTGGAAATTCGGCATACAAATAAATCCTTGAGCACCGATGCTGCCGGACAAGTTTTCCCAATGGTACAAAAGTTTAATATCAACCCTCTTATCAACATTTTCCATAGTTTTTCCGTAAATAGAGTTGGTGTAATTCTTATAGGTGCTTTTATCGATTATCGATTCATTATCTGAGGAATTACGTAAATTTGTGTTCAATTCAATATATGGATTTGGCTACGGTGATTGGGAAAATTCTAGAACTCGATGAATTTTAGTTACCTTTAAACCTTGTTCAGTACACTGTTACACATTTACCATTAGGAGGGATTATATTTTCAGGGCAAAAAGGTAAGTCATTATGATGAACATGTAATGTTTCAGGATAAGCTAAATCAACTTCTAATACATACCCCTTTAGAGATTCATCATCGATTGATAAGAAATCAAAATTAGTGATTTCTATATCATCTAACCACCTAAAATCGCCATGTGGAAGATATTGGCTTATAGCGTAACCATAAAGATTTGTAGCGTCTAAATAAAGAATATAAGAAGTAGGTTTGGAACAATTAAAATTTTCACAATACTGATTATTTGCAGTAGCAAATCTAGTGCTGCATTGACTTATACCCCCACGTATACCCTTTCTAAAAAAATGAAGCATGTCAATATTTGTCAACAATTCAAGCTGAATCTTAGTTTTACGCAACATAGCATCCCAGCTAAGTGATGGAACCGTTAAATATGGAGCGGGATCTAATTTATAGTTAAATAAACAATTACGTCGAAAATTTTCAAAAACATCAGCTAATAATAACACATCTGATTTTAAATAAACATCAGAGTACTCTCCTAAATTGTTACAATCGAAAACATTCCAAACTTGCTTAGGTCGTAAGTACTTTCCATCGGAAATACTTTCACCTTTTAAAATATCAAAAAATTGTTCCTGTGTGGGTAAAGATATCTCATCAAGTTTTGAAAAGTTATCCAGGTATGAATAAGGAAAAACACCTTTCTGTCGTAACAATCCGAACTCTTCATTTGATCGACAATATTTTTGTAACTCTAGACATTGATTAGCATTGAGGGTTTTACTTAAATTAAACTAAAAGTAATTTGGTGAATGATATATATTTTTCTTTGGTTTGTGCAATAACATTAATTTTTTCATTATTTTGAGCTAATTTTGTTATAAAAAGATGTGCATCGTAATTGGTTAGATTATATATAGAAACAGGTATGAACTTCGGTAATTTGTAATTTAAATTACAAGCGTTATGAGCCGCACCCAAAAACAAACCTGTTAAATGTGAATGATCTCTAACTTTAATTTCGTTAAAATCGATTGGTTTATCACGAATGTGGCAACTCTTACTTGCAAAAAATCGTAATTCCTCTTCCGGTGTGAGTTTTTTCATAGGTTTAATATGTTTAAGATATTTATGATCAATAGTGTAAACTTTTTTTTCTAGTTTTTGAATAAACGTTTCAACCACATTGTCACGGCAATAAATGGTTAGTGGTGATAAACTGTCATCAAAATAACATTTAACATAAAAACCGAATGAATATGGTTTATGCTGATAGGTTTTGACAGTAAACCAGGAATTATCAGAAGGTGTTGCATATTGTATCGGTTGCAGTATACTTTCAAAATCAGCATATATAACAAACGGAACTTGCATCTGTTTATGAAAGTTGAAAAACTGTAAGATATTTTCTTTTTGTAGATGTCCATATTTATTGAGAATCATGTTTGTAGTTGGAAGCTTAGTATATCCAAAGTTACAATCGTTGTCTTCATGTTTGCGAAGACGTTCTAAGGATGACAAAAATTGTAAACAACTATTACATAGAAAAGTCTGACCATTATGGTGTGATTTTTGTTTTGATATTAACCGCGATAAATTTTTAATATAACAATAATGACTATTCCCGTTATCATCAAAAATAAGTAATAAATTAACTACCGTAGGTTTTTTAGATTTTGTATGATACAATGGTCCAACGACTTCCAATTGAGTGGCATTATTTTTAAAACATTCACTGATTCCAAAAACGTTAATTGATATATTATTTAGTAATTCAAATTTTGGCATATCTGACAGTTTCATAGGGAATTCTATATTATGAAACTGTAAGAGACTACTATAATGCGGATAAGAAGTAGTAAGATTGGATTTACCGGTTGGGTCAAAAATTGATGCGTTTACCGCCCAACCAAAACACGCTTCATCTTTATTCATTATATTGATAACCGCTTTTTTCATCTCGATTTGTCGTGGTAACTTGATATGTGAAGAAGATCATAGAGGGTTGTACTTGTTAATGTTAACTTCGAATGATTGGATTTGCAAAAGACTCCATCCTGATTCTTTTTCTTGTATTTCCGAAACCTTGGGTAATAACTCGCTAATAAAATCTTGATATGCTTGTTTTAGATTAGTAGAAATAGTAATAATTTGATTTTTTGTATTAAATGATTTTAAATGATAAGTATCTTTTTCAGGTATTGTGTACATAGAGTAAAGTTGCAAATTAACTTTTAACACTTTAAATTCACGTAAATAATTATGTAGGAGCTTCAGAATGTTACTCTCAATTTCTGTTATGTTTGCTGCTAATAAAACGGTAACTACCAATACGATTTTTAAACGCACTTGATAGTTTATCTACTCCACCATCTAGATAATTAATAACATTTTTGTGCAAATTACTACGTAAATGTCCTGTTAGTCCTCTACCACAAATTTTTTTATAACAATCTTGGCATTCGATAACATTGGATATAGTGGTAACTGAATGAATTTTAGATCTAATGGAAATAGCTTCTGTGGTGGTTGAATAGTTTATATTAGCGGATGTATCAACATCTGAAAGTTTTGCCTTTTTCACTTTATTATTGAACCGTTCTGGGCAACTTTCCTGTTTATGACAAGTTACACTGCTTCTGTTGGATAAAACTTTTAAACAAGAGTCGCACTGCATGGTCGTTGACTGAAACTTGGTGAATGTACGGCACGAAAATGTTTTATGTTATTATGAGAATAAATAACTACAAAAACTAAGAATATAATTCAGATATAGATAATAACCTCTTTTAAAAGAGCGAATAAAAAATATACGATAAAATAACGCTTTTTACCGCTTTACCACCTTACATGTTAACTTTTTTTCAAAGTAGTAACATATTCGTATTTCTGAGGTCAAGACCTTCCATTATTAGAGTGGTCGGATTGTAGAGTACAACTAAAAATACAGTTTTTACCGCTTTATCGCCTTACGCGTTACCTTTTTTTTTTCAAAGTAATAACAGATTCGTATCCCTGACGTCAAGACCTTTCATTAAAGTGGTCGGATTGTAGAATACGACTAAAAATACACCTTTTATAGCTTTACTACGGCAAGAAATACACTTTTTACCGCTTTACCGCCTTACGCGGTAATTTTTTTTTTTCAAAGTAATAAGAGATTCGTATTTCTGACGTCTAGACCTTTCATTAAAGTGGTCGGATTGTGAAATACGTCAAAAAATACACTTTTTACCGATTTATTACGGCAAAAAACACACATTTTACCACTTTACCGCCTTACGCGTTAACTTTTTTTCAAAGTAATAATAGATTCATATTCTTGACGTCAAGACCTTTCATTAAAGTGGTCGGATTGTGAAATACGACAAAAATACACTTTTTACCGCTTTACCGCCTTACGCGTCATTTTTTTTTAATTTGTTTGTACTGGTGTATTGGCGTTGTAAAAACCTTTCATTTGAGAGGTCACATGCCGACAATTAATTGACCAAAAATTTTATTTTTGTTAAAAACTTTGTTTTTATAAAATGTTTAGCTTCCAACATTTTGCGATGACATGACAAAAAAAGCTTCCTCCGCCCAAAACAATACAAAAAACCAAAATAAAACCAATAAGAAGTATTAAAAGCAATAAAAAGTACAAAACCAACAAAAAGAACAAAACTTATAAAAAGTAAAAAACCAATAAATAGTAAAAAACCACTAAAAAGTAAAAAACCAATAAAAAGAATAAAACCTATAAAAACTCTGAAACTAAAAACGTACAAGACCGATAAAACAAGAAAAAATTCAATGGTTGTTCACAGTTCTTTGTTGTCTACCTGTCTGTGACCGGGCACTCACCTTTCTTTGTTGTCTGTGTATGTGATCGGATTGTGTGTGTGTGCTCTTGTTTTCTTTTGACTGTGGACTTAATCCATTAGCCGAACTAAAATTGCTCTTATAATATATCTTTTATACTCATTATATTTATGAATATATATAACCTATTTGATAATAATGATTTACAATATTAATTTACATATATTATACAGGTACCTACATATATTTACAGAGTGTTTTTCTATTTTTGTTAAAGAATTAGACAAAAATACTATATGTTATACTAAATATTAATACTACCTACTAATAACTAATAAATTATATACCAATTTTTCTTTTTTTTATTTATTTTTTTAATTTTTTTTTTTTATTTTTTTTTTTTATTTTTTTTTATCACAGCGCTAGGGCATAAACCCGGTTCAACACCTCGGAGGTTTAGGCCCTCTTTGTGTGTTTTCTTTTTTTTTGATAATTTTTTTTGGTTTAATTTTTTTTTTTTTTTTTTTACTTAGCCTTTTTTTTGTATTTTTTTTTTATTTATTTAAGTTTTTTTTTTTTTCATATTTTCATTTATACAAAATTTCACAATTTTAGTTTTATATTAATAATGTGTTTCATTAGGATCTCATAGATACTTTTATCTTTAGTAGCAATCAAAGCTTGTAGATTATTATCATGTCCACTACTATGCCGGCTGCTAATAATTGTGCAATGATGTGATCGGATTATCAACTTTCTTTGTTCGGACGGATTACTATCAAGAACTCGTTCTTCCCTACCTTTTTGTGGCTTGGATTCGCTGTATATAAAATCAGTTTAACATGTTCAATTAATTCGGGAGCTCGTCGGGAACCGACGTTATTATCAAGAAAACGGGCGCTTTTGCGTAGCCGGCGTTGGATGAACTATTGGAGGAACCAATACCTAAAAGACGGGGTGTTTCTCCGCCGGTTAGTGGGATTAGTGAGCGTTTAGAGCAATTGGTACCTCCACCGTTACTTTCATCTGGGAGGATGATGTGTGCACCAGACGAAGAAAGTGTGATATTCGTAAGCGAAGAAAAAATACGATCTAGTGTGCGGCGGCAAAGCGAGGCACAACACCTTATTTTAAAAATTCAACAAAATAAAGTGCCGCCGCAAACTGTTGAAGTAGCGGCGATGGTGCACGCACCAGCAGATGCTTCCACATCATCTGATGTCCAAGAAGATGAACTGGACAAAACATTGAAGGCTGAGGAAAAATTGAAAGAAATATTTCTTTCAGAAGGGGAGCCTTCATTGGGTTCAGTTTTAACGGATGTTTTAGATGTGGAAGAGGAGCCAAATACTGACTCAGATTTGGAAGATTACCAGCGTGGACTAGTGAAAGCCTTATCGCGAGATATTGAGAGGTTGGAGGGTGGTCTACAAAATATTATTAAGCAAGAGGAGTTGCTCAAGCGTGTAACAAATGATGTGTTATAATCCATTGAAAAGGCTGCTCAGATTATACACGAAAGAAACATTCAAAAACTAACTAAGATTAAACACCATCAGAATTTGTTGGAGAACGCTGCAAAAACAACTGCTCAAGGTAAGCAATAGTATATATAATGTTATACAGGTTTATACACTGACTTAAAAACACAAAAAACTCATTATAAACACACTATTACTCAAACTTTTTAAACTACATGTAAGCACTTGATCACAAGATAGCACAGACTACACTATACAACCGATATCAGAGTTAATACTAGTTAGTGATACTATTTTTTATTTGTTTGCAGATTTCTTCAGTAGTCAAAGTAGATCGTAAACCATCTCCAACCTCATGCGTAGACGCTGTAGTAAACGTCAACAGGTATGAAGTGTAAGTGTGAATACTATTTTTTGAAACCCCTTCCCATTCTTTCCCACTATTAGAGGTGAATATCTTCTACATGTTGGTTTTTCTTTGTTACAGATCCCATCCCATGAGCAGTCCTGTACATATTAGTTATAACATTTTTTAGTGTTAAGTATGTAAATATAGGTTTATTGTTCTTAACGTTCCCTATCAAGTCCCCTTGACGTTGGCGATTAACATGGCGAAACTGTCTCTGTCTCGAGCTAGTCTAAATAGTTGCTCAGCTTTCTTTATTCCAGTCCACTCCCTGATATTCTTTATCCAAGAGGCCTGCTTTCTACCAATTCCTCTGCGTCCTTCGATAGATTTATATAGGTTTTAAATATAGATTTTGTATATATTTATTATTGTTTTTTTATATTTTTATCAATAAAAAATATTGAACAATAACATGTGTTCTCCTTACTTTAAATTTACACAGATATCCTTTATTGTCGTATAAGACAAACTTCTCAGAACTGTCATAAAACTGTCAAAGTGTTTAGACGTATTTAAAAGTTTCTTCTAAAAATTTAAATATTTAAACGATTATTTCATAAATTTTGAACTTGTTAATAGTGAATAATAGGAATTGGGACTCTGAACATAGTAGCTAATACGTGTTTTAAAATCGAGCTCTTAAAACTAATTTAAAAACTAGTGAAAAACTAAAATATTTTCGTTAATTAGTGATCCAAGTAGAGAGGGATATGGTTCACCCCACTTTTTGGACTTTGACCCCTCGCACTCTCGACGCAGCCCCACGCTTCTCGGGTGACTGCCTCTCGATACAATAGCCCACTTTGACCGTTGACCCCTGACGTCACAAGCCCAGTCCGCACTCCGGTCATGCCCCGAGATGACGTAACCGACAAGTCTTAACTTGCTTTTCACGCTAGACACCTTGTTTTAAGTCCAGTAATGAGCCATTTTTAATATGAATTAATTTACGTATTATTTTTGTATTGAAGCCGGCGTTCTGTTACTGCCGTCCTTAGGAAAAACACCGCATTAAATTAAAAATTATGAAAATTTAGTTGGGCGCAAAAATTAGATCTAGAGAGGTTATAATTATTACATGCATATGAAATATTATAAATATGTATACATAATATATTACATGATTATTTAAGAAAAGTACAGTATTTACGATCCCAAAATATATATTCTTGAAACCCCGCATATACTTGACGGAACCTTCAGTTACTGTGTATATTCTAAGAAATACACAATCACGGTGT